TGCCTAGCATCAAAGTCACCACTGACCTTCACATTGCTAAGTCAGATGGCCACTTCTCAGTTCTCATTGGACAAATTTTCTTATCAGCTTTTGGAATAATTGATACCTTTCATGAAACACATTCTCTACTTTGCTGCTGGGACATTATCTCATTGCCTGATTCTTCTTAGTGTTATCTCCTAAATCATCCTCATCTTCCCAACCTGCAAGCATTAGAATGCTCCAGGGCTCAAATCTCAGACTTCTAATATTTGTCTTTCTTATTACCCTCATCAGATTGCATGGCTTTCAATATTAGCTATATTATGATGAATCTGAAATTTATATCTCCTGTTCCAACTGACAGATTTTACTTCTCAACACGGTCTATGTACTGTCTTCAGGTAACTCCACATTTCTCAACTGGGATGCCTGAGAGGTAGCCTACTAGAGTAAATGGCAACAGCATTCCCTTAGTTATTCAGTTCTCAAAGCTTGGGGTTACCCTTGATTCCTCTTCTCTTACATGCCATATCTAGTCCTTCAGTAAATCCTTTCAATTCTATTTTTAAATATATATTCTGAGTCTAATCCTTTTTTACTATTTTCACTGCTCCCATGCTATTTTATGCCACTATTATATCCCTAGCAGATTTTGCAAAATCTTCCTAAATAGTCACCCTATAAAACATCCCTTCCCTATTGCAGGCTAATTTGCATAATGTAGCCAAAGATGCCTTTGAAATGTATGTCAGATCATACCCTTCTGTCTCAAAATGCTTCAGAAACCTTACCCAGATTAAACTCTGAAGTACTATGTTCCCAATGCCCTACATGATCTGGCCCAAAACTGCTTCCAGCCCCTTCCCCTAATACTCAGACAACTGCCCACTTTGTTCCAGCCACACTCCTTTTCCAGTCCTTCCTCAACTTCACCAAGCAAGATCCTCTCTTAGAGTCTTTGCAAGTATAGTTTCTCTTCGCCAGAGATACTCTTTTCTCAGATTTCTGCATGAATCTTTCTTTCACTTCATTTAGCTCTCTTGCTTCAATTTTATATTTTAGAAAGGCCTTTCCCCCCCAGCCATCTGCATTCTTTGTGTCTTATCCTGTTCTGTTTATATACTTCAACCACTTATCAACAAAACAGTCTAGCTTATATTTTTTTTATTTTATTGTATTATTTTTACCTCTGTAGGTTTAAAACATAAAATCCATGAGGATCAGAACCTGATTAGTTCTGCTCAATGTCTTCTACCACAAAACCCAAATGCCTTGAACATAGTAGGTGCCAAATAAATATGTAAATCAATTAATAAGTAAATGAAGACGGGATTCAGTTTGAGATATGTGAAGGCCTGTATCTGGAGACTTTGGGATCACCTGTAAAAGCCAAGTCACCTCTGTGCACCGAGTGGTGTCAAGTGGACTGAGGTGAGTAGCACAAACTCGGAATGGAGAGAAGGAATTACAGTGAGCCAAGGCCAGTGATGCCCTGGCAACCATCCACAGAAGACCAGCAAAGTACAGCATGAGCCAGCCTGGCGTCTGTGTGAGATACAAACTCACAGTGCTCCTTCCAGAAAGAGGAAACAATCCACATAAAGTAAATGAAGTGAAACAAATTTAAAAAGACTGACAACAAGTTATAAATTAGGTGAGAGGCATTCTGATGGGCCCATGCTTGGACAGAAAAAGGACATTAGGGTTGGGCTCAATGAAGTCATGTCAAGTGTATTCAAACATTTATTCTAATTTTAAATTAGTATCTGAATACTTTTATAGAGAAATTATATGCACCGATAATTGCCTTCTTTTCTCAATCCAAATCTGGAACATATAATTTGGAGAAATATAAGTTTACTTATGGGAGTAACAAGACAAATTATAAAAAATTGGCACTGACTTTAAAATGTAAAATATTTAGGTATAGGATATATGCTTCTGACATGACACTGGGCATATCAGCTGGAAAAATGACAAAAAAAAAGGTAGGCTGATGAGTATAGAGAAATAGGTGATGAGTGCAGAGAAATAGGTGGTCAAAGATAAGTCAACCGTGCTAGTGAGTTTGAAGAACAGACACCCTAAGTAACATACCTAGCATTTGGGATGAGTTTTGATAAGAGTGAATGGTTTGAATATTAGTGGCACATATTGGAACACATATTCACTACCTCAAAGAAATCCTCATAGGAAGATAGGAATAAAATAGAGGTAAGAAAAATAGTTGGACATTCCTTCCCTTACTGATTTTCAATTATGCAGTTTTGACACCATGTAAACTATAATGCACCAAAGGACTGGTTTCAATGACTATTTGTCTTTCTAATTCCCATTATCAGATTGCATGACTTTAAATATTAACTATATTATGATGAACCTTAAATTTATATACTTTGTTCCAACTGACGGATTTTACTTCTGAACACAGTCTATGTACTGTTTTGTACCAGCAGATATCTATTTGCTAAACTCAATTTATTTGTGTCTAACATCACATTCTACCTCACGACCTTTACAGCAATGTGTTTTCTTGGTCTTATAGCCTATGTGTGTGAGGCTTTGTATGCAAGTCTTTGTGATGTTTTCCTATGCTGAAGTATCTCTCCCTTTTTCTCAGAAAGGCAACAAAGGAGACTAGAGGTTTGAGGAGAGTACATACCATAAAAATTTTTATAAAGAAACAATCAAATTCTAACTTCAGTAGAATAATAAAATGATATTGTAGGATCCTCAAAATCTAAAACTGAATAGTCCAAATTTTCCATTTTATATAAAAGACCTGAAGAAAAAGATCATAAATAACCACCTAATATAGCACACAAAGTTATTAGAAAAACTGGAATGAAAACCCACGCCTTTTTACCCTGTGGAGCATTCCTTTCATTTCACCAATTCTCAGTCCTGACATCTTTACTAGCTACAAAGATTTTATATACAAAACAAACTTCCCCTTGATCAAGCAAAAATCTTAAATATATGCTTATAGGTCTTTCATTGCTATATTTTTAGAATACAGTGAAATTTTCTTTTCAGAATTGCAGGAATACACACACACACACACACACGGATTCCTAAGGTGTGAACCTACACAAGCCAGGTTGATTTATGATTTTAAAGATTAGCGGGAGAGATGCAAAGTGTGTTATGGGATCTGGACTTGCCCCTCAGCATGACTTTCAGCATTCTTGTTGTTTGTTTAAGGAATAAAATTACCACTCTGACTTGGTAGAGCCAACATTACAATTCAGTATAAGTACAGGTAGCTTTTCTTTTTATTTTTACAGAATATGTAATTGTATCTTTACTTGAAAAGTCTTTCCATTACTCAACTAGTTTGCCACCTGTTTTAGAAAAAGCTTTAGTAGGCTCTAAGGTATTTAAGTTGTCAACCTTAAGTGGTCCATGTTCAGTCTGAATCACACTGCATGATTCTTATAGATCTTAGATTATTATTTCAAGTCATGAGACTAAGTTAAAAAGTGCACAAGTATAAATGGTTCAAACCTACCTAGATTCAACTTTATCCCTAATGACAAAAATTTCTCATATAGTTCTTTGGAAAAAAGAAACACACTTTATTAATAGGATGAATATGTATCTAGAAGTGATACAAAAAATCCAGGAAGACTCAATTTATTGAAGCTGTGGGCTGTTCCCGCTCATCACTGAATTTACCACCACTCATCCTACCAAGTTAACTACTAAAACATTTTAGTACTTGGTAAGTGTTGACTATGTGTGATTAACTTTAATTATATTCTATTACATTTGAAAAAAACAAGTATGTGAAGACATAATAATTATTATTCTCATTTTATACAGGAAGAAACTGAAGCTTTTGGAGATGGATCAACTTAATAGGGATATAATAATATTGAGTTCCCAGATAAAAGAGTTTGACTTCAACACCTACAGTAGAAATCCTCTTTGTGGTGTTATTCACAAAATGTTTGCTAAGGTGAAAAAAAAGTGTGTGTGGGGGGGTGCCTGGTCACCTAAGATCCCTCTGATAACACACTTGCATCTTTTCCATTTAATCATCAAAAACTAATTTACAACTGATATTAAGCTGGGGACTCAAAAGCAATTATTTTGTATCTGAAGACTCTTGCTCATGTCAGTTCACCACCTTGAGGCACACTGTAAATTGTTACATGCAGGGATTTACACTACTCCTAGCAAAACCCTCGGCAGCCATACATGTCACCCATCTCTTTTCATTTCTAGTCTGAGACATTGGTCTTGGTTCTGATTCCTCACTCATTTTTATTGCCAGACTTTATTTTCTTTTTTACAATGACACACATGCATACAACACCCGCACATGTACAGTTGGGAGATCATTTACATATGGTTGGGAAGAAGGTATAAGAGTGACTGAGGGAGCTTATTAATTATTTTCACCAGAGATTAAAAGACTATATGAATTTTTCCTATTTAAAAGTCTCTCTTTAGAATGGCAAAGGTCTAAACTTTCACTTTATAGAGAGGATAGGTCTAAGTTTTCATTCTATATAGAGGTGAGGGGATGGGAGTACATTCTCTGCAAAAAAATTTGAAATTGATGAAAATTTACTTAAGTTCCTTGAGTTTAGGACCTATCAGTGGTTCTCTGAATTTTCCTCTCATGATGGTTGTTCTTCACTAGCATTAACTTGAGGATGCCCATGATAAGAACCACAAAATTTTGTTTGAAGTAGATCTTGGATCTCCTTAACTCAGTTTCCTCTAATACCTGACCTATCATCTTTGAAAGAACTGAGTATAGAATTCCAGTGCTGCAAACTTAAAAACATTTGACAGCATTAAATTAAATGGGAAGATGGTTTTATCATTCTGGGAATTTCCTGAAAGGCCCAAGAAGGTGAAACAGACACAGCCCCAAGTAAGATTTTACACAGTCACACAGACACACCGATGCAAAATGAAAACAGATTTCCACCTGAGAATTCAAGAAATGTACTACCTTGCCCCAAACCGGTAAGAATCCGATTACCACAAGGATGGATAGTTACCCATGGCGAAGAACGGGATTCCCAGCAAGGTGGAGTTGTACTTTCCATCCGTGATGAAGAAGATCCCTGCTGCAGTGATGATGGAGATGCACACTGTGAGCACCCCCAGGAGGCCCAGGAAAGGCTTACTGCGCAAGCAGTCCTTCATGGAGCTGGAGAGGGTGGCTGTGGTCAGGATCAGCACGAGGCTCACCAGGACCTTACTTCTGGCCAGGATGCTGGTCTTATGAAAGTCTCTCCAGAGGCTAAAGGATGCTAAAGAGTGCAGTTGGAGGTCTTGGTGCTCCTCCTGAAGCTTCCTCATAAGCTTACAGAACTCATTCTCCCACTTCTCCCCTATGAGGTCTTGGGTGGCAGAGCCATAGGTCTGGAGGTAGTAGGTGATTTGAATGGCTCTGGCTGACTTGACCCGCTGGTCCTTGCTGTTTGGCACTTCCACTACCCCGCCCAGTTGGTGTCCAATAAAACTGTTCCTCCCATCCTTGAAAAGAAAATGGGAGACTTAAGTTACCAGAAGGATGCACATTCCAAGGGACAGTTTCTTACTCTAAGTGAAGGAGCACAAGAAAGGCAAAGAGAGGTGCTAATTGTGGAACTGATGTGGGTGGAGAGGCAAGTCCAGATCATATATTCAACCTTTTTTGGAGCTATGTGGGATACCATGCATGATGATCAGATTTAGAAAAGATGCGAAGAGTACTACAAAGCTACACAAGACTCACCACATGCATAGGGAAATGTACATGAATACTGTTATTTTGATTTCCCCAAATACCCTTATTCTAAATATTTCCTTCCATAGCAATGTTATAACTCCTTAATGGAGGATCAAGTTTATGATTCAGTTTTAATCAAAGGCATTGCATGAGTTAAAAACATTTAAAAAATTGAATTATCTTTTCTATAACTAGAACCTTCTAGGGTTCTATACATATACCTACACCAACACACCCATACAAACACACCCACTCACACACATTAATACCTTGTTTCTCTATAATCTTGCAATATAATTTCATAGTTCAGAACAATACAAAAATATTCTTTCTCACAACTAATTTAATGATGTTGATGGGTTTCCTCAATATGTTCACTCATTATCATCTTCCCTCCAAATACCTGCCTTAGATACAGATTGATCTTTCCCTCTAGATGATTAGTGGACAAAACCCCCAAATGAAACTGATAAGATTTTCAGGAATGATTGCCAAAAGTTATCTGAGTTTCAGAGTTTGACATGGTGTAGTATAGGCAAACTCATGAGTAAGAGTTTGGTAGGAGAAGCAATCATTCCTCCTGAGTGGACATGGAGTCCCTTAAACAGGTTCCCAACAGAAATTCTCATCCCATGTGCCTCATCACTCAGGAAGAAATTCCTGACAGCCATTACCAAGTTTTAGACCACCTGGGAATTTTATTTTTGCCACAATTGTCATGTGCTTCAATGGCAATGGTTGTCAGAATGTAGAATCTGGTAGCAGAAAGCAAGTTGAAAGACAGCTTTAAAAATATGCTGCAGGAATTGAGTGAGAACAGGAACTAAGGTGAACTTATGTCACAAGTAGAATGTGTGTGAATTGGATCAGGCAAGATGCTCATCTCATGGGGATATAAAAGGGTAAAGTCAGGACAGGAAAGAGTTCTTTCTACAGAGGACAGTGGTAAGGCAAAAAAAATGCAGTACTGTGCTAAGCATGGATGTCTTCACAGAACCGTGGGGCATCTTGCACACATGTGAAATAATTATTGGGGGCTTGTTTAATCCAGATATCTATGTCTGAGGCACGTATTTGTATTTGTATTTTTTAACATGCACTAAAGCAACTTTAATATTTGAGAGTCTGTTGCAAACACAAAAAGTTTAAGAAGTTTATAGAGAGTACAAATGCTGGTAGTAGGATCATCAAGAATTTTAAGAGATAAGTTCCATAGTTACTCCATAGACCCATTTTAAATAATCACATTAAATAATTAAAATCATCTCATTAGTTCAAATTGACCAATTCCAAATGAAAATGTATTTCTAGTAAGTAAATTTGATTTAAAGATTTTTTTTTTTTCTGCTGGGTATCTCCCACTACCATGGCATTTTTGTGATTTCCCCTTTTCTTCTCTTTAAAAAAAAATCAAATTGAAAGTTTGGCTGTAGGTTCCCAAAGTTCTCTCTTGATTAAATCTTTTGGAGTGTTCCAGCAGAAAGATGGGCAAACTTTGAAGGAGGCAGGAGCCTTCCCCCAGAATCGAGAGATTGTATAATCATTTGTACTTGTTCAGTAGATCCAAATTGTTCCTCAATTAGGCTTGATTATTTTTGTTTTATGCTTGATATAATTTTTGGCTCTGCCTTTCTGTTTCTGTGAAATCCCTTCTTTGGCGCAGACTTGTGCTTCTGAGGGAAAGTATTTAAAAAGCATTTTATAAGTATTTACTTAAGAATGTGCAGTTTTGTCTGTCTTTACTCATTTCTGTCATCACAAAGGTTTCTCAGGGAACTTTAGCAGCAGCATGGAGATTATTTCTCCCTTAGGCCCCATTTGGAGACTACAGTGGATCAAAGAGGGTGCTGGTAATGTGTCTGGGAAAAGTCAAAGCTTTAAAGAAGACAAATATAGATTTTTAAATAACAGAACTTTGTTGACTTTGGCTAACTGCTAACCTCCCTTTTGAAGTTGCTGAAGTTCCATTTTTTTTTTTAACAAAAATAGTTTATAAAAGGTATGCTTCCATCCTATCTTTGTTCATTATACTTAAATAAATGTAACAGAATGAATTTCCCTCTCATATTCAGATCTTCTTTATGTACCTGAGCAAATTAAATAAATTTCTTTGGGTATTCTGGAATCTAAAGGCTCCATTGAAGAGTTACAACATGTATATACATTTTAAGATACTATTTATATGGAAATCTTCTACTATTTCATAAATGTGGCAGAAGAGTTTCTCTGTTCATGCTAATTCTTAGAAACTTCTAAGTAGGAGAAACAAAGAACAAATACAACAAATATTGTAATTACATTTTGGGCAGAACTTCTGGACTCTAAGCCATCCAGTAGGATTAGTGGAGAGAATGAATGATTAGGGTCCATATGACTCAATTTGCAGCAAACAGCTCACACTAATTGCATATTAAACCCATAGCTAGTTAATTTCCCTTCTAAATTTCAGTTTTCTCATCTGTAATAGAAGCAAATATGTAACTATGAGGAAAAGTTGACATGATGTTGAAGTAAATTTGCAGCTCTATTTCTAGGAAAATATGACCTATATAGATATTTTGAAGAGATCTGAGAGTCAGGAATTGGTATTATAATTAATAGAGGCATGAATTGCTTATTTCACATCTTGCAAGATCTTACCAGTGACAAAGAAGAGCTGCTTTGTTTAAAAAATGAGCAAGCCTGGAGACTTAGAGAAGGAAAATCTGTTAGTCAAGGTGATGAACCATGGGTTTCAAACCAGATCTTCTGTTCCAAGTCTAATCCTTTCTAGAATCCTATGGGAATCAATCAGGGGAACCACTTCAACTCCTGCTTCTCATAAATACTCTTTGTGATTAAAGCTTATCTTACTCATAGATTCCCCTTTTCCAACATGTTTCCAACTAAAGCAATTACCTACCATTTAACACATACATTTTCAACTTCTTCCTCCCAAAGGGACTTACTTCTTACACAAGCTTCAAGATTCCTTTAAGTGCAGAAATCACCTTTATGTTCCAATGAAGAGAAACCTTAAAATAAAAATATGACCAGATGGCAACATGCTGTTTTCAATGCATCCCTATTTCAGTACATTGCTGAACTGGACTGATGTCAATAACATGAGATGAATTTAGGGCCCTAGTTCATATCCATGTCCAATTCTGCTCTTCTTCAATCTGTTCTCCAAAGTATAGCCAGAGTCTGCTTTAAACAGGATCACATCATTTCCATGCCCCAAACTTTCCACTGGCTACCACTTGCTCTAAGAAAATAGGACCCTCTACCTGGCCTGCAGGGCCCAGCAATGGCCCATGGCTGGAGGAAACGTCTGACTTTGTCTCCTATCCCTCTCTTCTCCTCTTCTAGCCTCTCTTCCTACTCCTTAAATGCAAGTTAATTTCCACCTTACTTTGTATTTGCTGTCCTCTCTGCCTGAAATATTTTCTTACATTGGTCTTATAGTCAAGACTACTTGCTGCCATGGAGGTACTAGCTTTGAAGAAACTATGTGAATTACACATTCTCAAGTGGGCACCTCCTTTCCTGCGCTCATTCTATTACATAGCCCTATTTTTTATATTACTGATAATTATTCCCATCTAAAATGATCTTATACAATTACTAAATTGTTCCTTTTTTGTCTCCTCTGTGAGAAGATACACTTATTGAAAGCCAGCATTTTTCCTGTTTTTCTCACTAATAACTTCCCTATCCCTAGAACAAGGCTGTTCTAGAACATTCCCTAACCTTTTTTTAACTGAGTGAATTCACCTTAAGGTGTTAATTACTAATCATAGGTTTTTTTGTTTTTTTTAAAGACTGTTTGACTAAGGTCAGAAAATAAAGAGACACTTTTCTCCCTTTTTCTATCTTCTTAGTCTGAATAACATTTCTTCAAAATATGTTCCTGTTCCATTTTCACTGTGAATTAAACAAGTGTGGTAAACTAGTCAACAGACAGGGGAACTGGGGAAAAGCTAGGGGAAAGGATTTGCATGCACCATCCTCTGAAGTCAAAGGATGGCATCAGACACCCAAGAAATGGAAGAGGGTGGTTGGAGAGGGAAGCAGGGCTCCTTTAGTTTTCCTTCAGTAAGGGCAGCAGAAAGCTCATTAAGGTGCTGGGATTAATTGTCCTTTAGTGAGAAATGACTGGTAGGTTGTAGGCAGGGGAATGACTTTATTTCCTTTTTTGTAATGCTTACTTTCATTGTGCTGTGGGAAAGGACTTAGGCAGTAGAGAGGACCCTGAAGGAAAGAGCAGTTAGAAAGCTCCTGCAGTATTTTAGTTTCTTAATGCAGCATAAGAAAATGTCAGTGGAGGCAGTGTCTGGCAGGTAAATTGTTCCAAGGTGAATCAATAAAAGTGCAGGTCATGATGCTATCTCATGGACATGAAGCATCTCAACACATTCTCTCTCCAGCAATTTAATATAGAAAAAAAAATTCTTGGATCCTTTAGCTTTTATTTAGATTAAGATTACTACTTTGTCGCTTTTAAAATCACCCCTACCCAAACCACATTCTCCAGCAAAAAGAAAATTAAACTCTTAGAGATAAACTCAATGAATAAATTCTTAAAGAATGAAGACTTTAGTGCCATAGGCAGTTGTGCAGAGAAAAAAAAAATACTTGATGATGCTTGGATATGATAAGGGAGCAAGTGTAAAATTTGCTCAATATATGTGCTAGGTTGACATTCAGATACTTTCTGTGACTGCGAAATAATTTGGCAGCACAGTTCCTGTCCAAGGCAATTGTAATTCAGATTTCATTGATT